ATTCCCCCACCCCGAATTCGACGAGATCCAAGACTCATCACACACCTCACAACTCTACACCTCACAAGACATGGTCTACAAATCCTTTTGCTTTGACCCGGAAAAGCTCGACCACCTCAAGCGCAAAGCCCTCAACGACGGGTCCCTCGCCAAATGCACAACATTCGAGGCCCTTTCGGGCTTCGTCTGGCGGGCCCGTACCGAGGCCCTCGGCATGAGGCCTGACCAGCTCACGAAGCTCCTCTTCGCCGTGGACGGGCGGCCGAGGTTCGAGCCCCCAATCCCGAGCAAGTATTTCGGGAACGGGATCGTGCTCACGAGCGCGGTTTGCCGGGCCGAGAAGCTCGTGCGGGGCCCGCTCTCGCTCGGGGCCGGGCTCGTACAGGGAGCCGTAAGGACTGTGACGGACGAGTACATGAGATCGGCGATCGACTACTTCGAGGCCACGAGGGCACGACCCTCGCTGGCTTCGACGCTACTGATCACGACGTGGTCGAGGTTGTCCTTTCATACCACGGACTTTGGGTGGGGAAGCCCGGTGCTGGCGGGGCCTGTGGGCCTGCCGGAGAAGGAGGTGATATTGTTCCTTTCGCATGGGGAGGAGAGGAAGAGTGTGAACGTGCTGCTGGGATTGCCGGCGTCGGCTATGAAGAAGTTCGAGCAACTTGTGATGATTTGAAGGGGCTGAATTTGATTATTTTTTTTCCTTCGCGTGTATATATATATATATATAATATATATATATATATATATATATCTGTGTGTGTATGTGTGTGTGTGGAATGGATTGTGTTGTGGTTTTTATTTTTTGGTTTTGTTATGGGTTTACATTTGTTTGGCGTTCTGTTATGGGTTATATATATATATATATAGAGAGTTAGGATCAAATGAGAATGGTAGATAGTGAAAGAAATAAGAATGGATCCGGACCATGGGATTAATCATATAAATGGTTATGATGAAGTCAAACTATGGTCAATTATTAATGGCAACATGGTAATTTAGATACATATTGTGGTCAAATGTACATATTTGTCCACTTAGTAAGGGTAAAATAGACATTACACCTAATATTACAATTCATCAATCCAGTGGGACCCACCACCTCCCCCATAATTCCGCTGAAATTATTCGCATCCCCTGGGGTCCCCCGCCGGAAATGAAGACCGCCATTACTGCCACCTGCCGCCATCTCCGACGTCCGATGCAGCTCCGCCGGTCGCCACCAGAGACAGCCGTCGTCCGTCCTATACACGATGGCTCCGCCGGAAAACACACACGCGCACACATTCTCACGCACAGAGCACACACATCTCACACTTTCTTCACACAGTCGGGAAAACACACACACACACACACGACCACGATCCATCCACAGCTGCACCACCCCCGGCACAGCCAGTCGACGAGGACGTCGCCGCCGGCATAGCCAGTCCCTGCAACCAGCCACTCGAGCACGTCGTCGCCACCTTGCAACTAGCGCCACCAACAGAATCGCCACGGCCACCACAGTCCCGTCGCCCTGCAACTCGACGGAACGCCGCTTCGGGCCGTGTATTCGGTTTCTGATCTGCCAAACTCCGGCGAGATGGCCGCGGGAGTCTCGGAGAGATCTGCCGAGTAATAGCCGAAAAAATTGGATCTGTAGAACCGCCGACAGTAATACCATCACCGAATCGCCGGACGCCGGACGGTCTGAGACGTCGATCCGGTCGATCGTCAGGCTGGCCTTCTCTATTTGGACTAATGGAACTGAATAGGGGTTGAGGAAGATGATTGATTTTGTCGATTTTGGAATATGGGTTTGGGGTGTCTTGGGAAAATTTGACATGTTACAGTGGTCTAATTGCAAATCCTGAAATTTTTATTTTTTCCAATTGAGTACTTGAGGCAAATTGATAATTTAAACAAAAATCTAGTCACTTAGCTGCAAATTCAGAAATTTGTTTATAATACAAATTAGTTAATGTGTAAAATTTGTAATTTAACAAAAATTTAACAAATGCGCAATAATGTACAATACAATGCATAACATAGTGTGTGTATATGCACATTAAAAAAAAAAAAAAAAAATGTAGGGAACTATTTTGCAATTCCCACCCTTTTAATATATGTATATTTTTATTATGGTTAAATAAATATTAATTTATGCACAATAATGACACATTGTATGCACGATATTATGTGTAGGTGTGCACCTTAAAAGAAAATGTCATATGGATACGAAATTATTTAAAAAATTGATAAATAGGTCATTTTTACGATAAATGAATTGCACAAAGTAATGTATAAATATGTGCTTTAAAAGTAAAAAAAAAAAAAAAAAAAAAAAAAAAAAAAAAAAAAAAAAAAAAAAAAAAAAAAAAAAAAAAAAAAAAAAAAAAAAAAAAAAAAAAAAAAAAAAAAAAAAAAAAAAAAAAAAAAAAAAAAAAAAAAAAAAAAAAAAAAAAAAAAAAAAAAAAAAAAAAAAAAAAAAAAAAAAAAAAAAAAAAAAAAAAAAAAAAAAAAAAAAAAAAAAAAAAAAAAAAAAAAAAAAAAAAAAAAAAAAAAAAAAAAAAAAAAAAAAAAAAAAAAAAAAAAAAAAAAAAAAAAAAAAAAAAAAAAAAAAAAAAAAAAAAAAAAAAAAAAAAAAAAAAAAAAAAAAAAAAAAAAAAAAAAAAAAAAAAAAAAAAAAAAAAAAAAAAAAAAAAAAAAAAAAAAAAAAAAAAAAAAAGAAACAATGAAAATGAAAAGTTCGAACTAAAAAATTCAACATAATCGATTTAATTTGTCGGTTAACACAAATAACCAAAACAACTGACATAGATTATATTAATTATTATAAAAAAGCATGATTAGTTTTTAATATTTTTTTATTTAATATTTTATACTATTTTTTTATTAAAAATTTCATATTCATGTGAACGAAATATACCGTGCAATATAACGTTCATTAAAGTGCAATGTGTCCAACACTACGGTGCACTGTATTGTGCAGATTGGACCAACCAAACTTTTATCCAAAATCAAATTGAAAAATGAACATAGTCAATCGGTTTATTCGGTTCGAATAACCGGATTATCCCAAATAATTGAAATAATTAATTTTTTGTTTATATTAAAATTATATTTAATATGTTATTAATTTTATTTATTAGTTTTCATATTATTTTTTGTTGAGTATCATTGAGGTCGGTCGGTTTCGATCACTACTGTGCAATCTGATAATCGTGATAAAGTGCAATGTATTGTTTTGTAAAGTGTAATGTGTTGTTTTATAAAGTGCAACGTGATAGTGTATAAGTCGAACTACTGTAATTTTGGTACGTTACCGTACTTGTGTTTTGTGCGGATAAATGACGTGATTGATGTTAAAGTATTATGTCTATTCGTTTTTAAAAGTAACAACAGATAATCGGCCAAAACATAAAATTATAACACATGAATTTAATTCAAACGTTTTTTATCGCTAAAGTGCACTCTGACAGTCGCTATTGTGCAATCCAATCAATACTAATGTGCAATCCAAGTGCATATTTAAAATTATATTTATATAATAAAAATATATTATTATTTATTGTATAATAATTATATCTAAATAATATAATTGAAATAATTATTATGTATATTATATAAATTATGTGTGTATAAAAATATACAAAGAATAATAGTTTTTATAAAGTTTTTATTAATTACATATTTGACTTATGTACTAAATTGACATTTCATAAAAATAACAATACAAGTCTCTATATTAGAGATTATGCCCAAGGACCAATTGCAATTTAATCAATCTTTTCGAATATACAATCAAGTCCCTGGTGAATATCAAATTCTCAAAAAAAAAATTCACCACTGCCTGCATCTGTCTTGTCCACAGTCCGGTCATCTCCGGCGGTCGCTCTGCTCGCCGACGACGCATCCCGTTGGCAGCAGCAAACCTAAAATCCGGCCGTCATCAGCCTCGATTTTCAAAGAAATCTGGCCGAACTCGCCGCCCATATTCAGAAATTCACGTCGGACTTACATCGATTGACGGCGACAAACGGCGGATCGTAGATGTTGTGGACCTTGTTTTCCGATCTCGGCCAGAGGCCGATCTAGGGTTCAGATGCAATGTCGATGGAGACGTTGTAGATGATGAACGTCAATTTCGATGGCGTCGGATGACGGTGAACCAGGTGAGCGGAGTCGCGGGCCTCATCTTGACAGGAATTCCGGCGATGGCTTGGTAATTTCAGACGACGGAGTGGAGCGCGGTGGAGGCTGGATTCGATAGTCTTCTCCTACCGGTTGCAGAGGCGCGAAAATCGTTGAGATTGCGGCGGTGGAGGCGGTACTGGCCGGCGACGGGGCAGCGGGTGGTGACCGACGGGCTGAGTTGTGACGGGATTGTGTGTGTGTGTGTTCGTGTGTGAGAGAGAGGACGAGTGGGGTGGGGGGTGAGGTGTTGTCAGATGTGATGTGGCGTGGGTTACGATGAGGTGGGGCATTGTTGGGTGTATTGAATGTCCAATTTATCCTTAATCAGTTTAAATGTTTGGCTTTTTTTCTGCCGTTGGATTATCGGATCGGACGCCTGTGATTTATTCTTATTTCTTTCATTGGGCACCATTCTCACCGGAGCGTGACCCTATATATATATATACATATATATATATATATATATATATATATATTTTCCGAAGGGTAGAAATTCTCGTAACCAAAATATAAGTTCATACAATCGGGATACAATGAGAGAACCAGAATATATTCTGGTATAGAAATCAACAACAAATTGCAGTGTAGGCAACCACACGAGCTGAAACCCAACAGATACACAATTAACATACAGTCACAAACCACATGAAAGGAATAAATAAACAAATCCATATCCACTGTCAATAGACCTAGCATAGCATTTGTTTACCCCAGCAATTAACCAACAACTCTACAACTCATGAAGTCCATCCAGTCCCTAGCAGCCTTAACAACCAGCCACTCTGGTTTCCATAGTTCTTCAAGCATCCAGAGGTTTCTAGCTCTCCACAACCACCAAAGGATGTATGTGGAAAGCTAGATTCTCTTTGCAGCAACAACAGAATGGTTTATGGTACTGATCCATCACCACCAAGCTTTAAAATCTCCCTCTCCTCCTGGTATCTTTGCCCATTGTACAGGAGAAAGTTTCTACACCATCTGAGCCCTCCTATACTTGAAAAGAATATGCTCCACTGTTTCAGTTGCTTCCCCACACCCTCTGCATCTTGCATCAATCTCCACTCCTTTCTTCTGAATATTGCATAAGGTTGGTAATGCATCTGTGATGCATTTCCAAATGAAATGCTTTACCTTGCTTTGTACCTTCAAATTCCAACATCTCCTCCTAGCTTCCTTATTCTTCTGAGCAGCCATGCTATTTTCAGCTCTATCCATTTCTAAAGGTTTTTCCACCATCAGTTTGACAGCAGCCACAGTGTATCTCCTCTTTGTATCAAAAGTCCACCTCCACCTATCCTCAGCCTCTGGATTAAGAGTTCTAATTTGCAAAACCTGTTCACATTCAGCTTCTTGAAAATACTCCTTCACCAACCTCTCCTCCCAATTCCTCCCACCATTTTCCATTAGATCAACCACCCAAACAATTGCTTCCGTATCTGCATTCTTCACTTTTGTTGGCCCATTCACCGGCCAGTTCTAATCTCTGATTTTTGTTGATCTACCATTTCTGATTTCCACCTTCAAGGCTTTCTGCAAAATAGGTAGCACACCCAGCCAGCAGTTCCATAGCCAAGATGAGTTAGGATTCTTCTTGCACTCAAAGATAGAGTGTAATGCAAAATATCTTCCTTTAAGGATCCTGCTCACCAACAGATCAGGCTTGGTTGATATCCTCCCTAGTTGTTTGATCATCAGGGCCTGATTGAATAATGTGAAATCTTGGAATCCCAGTCCCCCTCTCCCCCCACCCCCCAACTCTTTGGACAGAGTTATTTCCTTCCAAGTTTTCCAATGTATGCCTTTGGATTGATCTTCCCCTCTGCTCCACCAGAAGTTGGCACACAGTCTAGCAATAGCTTGGCATGTCCCCTTAGGAATATGAAAACAACCCATCACAAACACTGACAGTGCATTTAGAACAGCTTTGATTAATGTTTCTTTACCTGCATCTGAAAGGAATCTATTTTTCCAACTCACTATCCTAGCTCTCACAGCCTCCACAACAATTGAAAAGTTTCAATTTTTGACTTTCCAATTCCCAAGGGGAGACCGAAGTACCTAGTAGAGTTCTAGACTTTTATCCCATCAAAAATGGTACACACACTCCACTTCACCCCCTCAGAAGTATTATTACAGAAAAAAAAAAATAGAGGATATACTGAGATTGACCTTTTGCCCTGTGAAGGCTTTATACTGGCACAAAATATGGTTTATTAAATGAGCTTGATCATTACTAGCATGACAAAAGGCCAAGGAATCATCAGCAAAAAGAAGGTGGGTCAGACTAGGACAATCCCTGGCCAACCTAACCCCTTTAAATCTACCCAACCCCACCTCTCTGTTAATGGTAGCTGACAAGACTTAAGAGACTAACAAGAAGAGGTAAGGGGAAATAGGGTCCCCTTGCCTCAGCCCCCTAGAAGGGTTAACAAGACCACCCACTCTCTCATTGATATTAACAGAAAATGAGGTAGAAGACATACAAGCAAGCTCGGGCAGCTTGGGCAGCCAACTCAGCACATCCAGGCAGTCTTCTAGAAACAGGTACCTCACCCCTATATATAGAGGTAAGATGTGTGATTTCCGACATACATCCATTATACTCTTGAAGTTCATCTTCTACACATACTCATTTAAGCATCGGAGGCTCTTCACCGAAAAACCCCTCCGGTGTGAGAGTTTTTGCAGGTACAAGGCGTTCTACCGGTGAGGAAGCATTCGATCAACCGATTTCCAGCCGTTCGGAGGGTTTTACGTGCCAGTTTCGCAATTTATAAATTAACTTTGCATGTCTGTCACATAGTACATATGTCTTATAACTATTTTACACTTTATCAATTATCTTCGTCTGTCTGTCGCATACCTTATCACACACATACTTTATTATCAATTATATTTCCTTGTATGTTGCATAGTTTATCGCATAAATATTTCGCACTTTATGAATTATATTCGTCTATCTATCGCATAGTTTATCACATAACTATTTCACACTTTATAAATTATTTTCATTTGGTTTTCGCTTAGTTTATCGCATAATTATTTCGCACTTTATCATTTATCGTCGTATGTCTGTCGCATAGCTTATCGCATAATATTTTCACACTTTATCAATTATGTTTTTCTAACTATGATTATTACATAATTTGTTTCACAGTTTGTGAGGTGAAAAAATTAACTTACTACTTGGTGGTGTGAAAAACGTAATTCGCCTTCTAAGCAGGGTAAAAATAGTTATTTCATATATATATATATATATATATATATAGGGTCACGCTCCGGTGAGAAAGGGTCTTAACGAAAGAAACGAGAATAAATAAAGAGCAGCTGATCAATACTATCCGACGGACATCAAGCAGTGGGGCAATTAATACAGCAATTACCTCAAAGGGCACACTGGTAATTAAACACACCATCTCATTACACAGAAATTAAACACTCCGTCGGCAGTCCCGATGCCGACGACGTCGTCGTTACATTCGCCCGCCGATTTGGGAGCTGCGCGTCGACGCGTGAGGCTCACCGATCGAGTGGTGAGCGGCGGTCGGTGAAGGGACGGCCGGACTACCTACATCCACCGACAGCGAGAAGGTTGTGCTGCTCGTTCACGATGGCTTCCGATGGGTGTTTGACTTGAAACACCGGCGGCTTTCAGGTAGAGGTCGAATCTCAATATCGCGAGGGTCGATTACGGCTTCTGGCTACGGTTTAGGGTTGTGGGTTTATCCAATTCCTTGACTAGATTTTCTGGTTGATTGTGATCTTATTTATGCGTGTGTAAAATTAAATTAGGGTTAATATGATTTTTGGAAATGTTTCAGAACGTGGTTTTAAAGCTCTACAGACAAGCTCTCAGAAATTCACGTAGAGCACCGGGTGATTATAAATGTCTGTGATGTATCCTCTATCTTAAATCTCTTGTCATATAATTTTGCTCTTGTAAGTAGCCGTGAGTTGTGCTTCACTAAGGTTTTCTAATGTGCATATGTCATCAATCTTGAAAGGGAGCTGCAGGTACATCAATGAGGTTTTTTAATGTTCGTATGTTCATTTAAATTCAGTTTCTGAACATATAGCATTTGCATACGAATGATATGTTATCCTAAACTCATATGTGTTCTGGATATTGTTTAGCATTCTCTGAAATATGATTTAACTTGAATCTTGCATATTGTGTCTAGGCTACCCCATACATTTTAGTTTCAGCTGTAGGATTTGTGTTTAGGCCTATCCCATACCTTTCAGTTTCAGCTGCTGAATTTGGTGCTAGGTTGTTGGGAGTTTTTGGGAATGGCATGGTGCAATCATTCATTAATGCACATACACTTACTCCATCTGGTAAAGATCACATGAATTAGGAAATGGTTTTTATCTTTTCAATGGATATATCTAACAATGAACAATCTCCTTTATTTTATGAAATTCCAATCTATGAGAATCATTCTTAAGTGAATTGTCTGGTCAATAAGGAAAGTATGAATGTGTGACAATATTTTATGGGCTCATTTGTGATTAGGTTAAGAATTGCTTCATTTGTTTTGTTTCATAACAGACATGCGGCAACCAAAGCTTGTGGAAGAAATGGTTAAACATCGAAAATTTCATGATGTGGAAATCCCCGATCCCGGAGAACCGCAACTTTGAAATGTTATTTTCAAGTTCTTAGTGCAAGGAATCCTGTGCTTAGAGGTGTAGTATGATAATCTTTCTATTAGTTATAAAACCGACTCATTTGACTTAGTGCAAGGAATCATGTGCTTAATTCATAAAATTCAATATCATGTGAATTCATTTCTTGCAGAATATTCGGCAGCCCGTCGTCTTGTGATCCCGAGATCACTGTCGACTTTAGCATGCATACGGTCATTCCGCAAACAGAACCAAAGCCCTTAATCAAGCACTCCAAAAAGGTCTAGAGGAAAACGACCAACACCAACAAATTCCGGTCCAAAACTTGGACAAGGCCATCAAGCGCAGAAAAAAATAGTGTTTCCATTAACAAGAAGACGGGGTTCAAGAAAAAGGATGGTGCTATTGTTGCCAATCAAAAGCACGATGAGGACAAACCGAGGCCCCGCAGGCACTGAGGCCCGCTTTTGAGTGTGGCCTCAAATCGAGCTTCAAGCTCGAACCTCGAGCCATTATGATTGTTAGAAAGTTTACATTTTGTTTAAATGTATAGGGTAGAAAGTTTAAATGTATGACAGACGCACATCGCGATTAAAAATATTGCACATTAGTGTTTGACATATTGTACATTAATGTGTGTCAGACCGCACATTAGCGATCGAAACTGAAGTAACTATAATTTTTCTGTTTGTTCGTATATATTTCGATTATATTTAAAATTTAAGTTATTTTGACTTTGTTAATTTCATCTGAAATAAAGTTATTTTGATAATTTTAATTTATATATTTTGATAATTTCGATAAAAAAATGAAAGAGCCGAGCTATATGAAAAATATTATTATTATGATTTATATATTTTCTATATTGCGAGCATACATTATAATTGTATGAATTGCATGTTAATGACTATATGATTGCACAATATTAAAAATAACCCAACTAAAATTTTCGGTTCGAAGATTTATATTTTAGTTCAATTATTATTTTTCTACTTATAAAAACTCCGCAATGCACTTTAAAAACGAAGACGTTGTACTTTATATAACAACACATTGCACTTTACAAAATAACACGCTGCACTTTATCGTAATGCATATTATAAATAAACACGTTGCACTTTATATAGCAACACGTTGCACATTACAGAACAACACGTTGCACTTCATCACCAGATTGTACAAATGAGATCGAAACCGACCGGACACACTTTTTTTCAACAACTGATAATATAAAAATAAATAATTAAGGAGACCTTTTTTAATATTGTGCAATCATATAGACCTTTTTTCAACAACACGTTGCACAATTAATGACAATATGATTGCACAATATTAAAAATCAACCAATTAAAATTGTGGGTTTGAAATTTTATATTTCGGATCAATTATTACTTTTATTATTTTTCTACTTCTAAAAACTCAGTAATGCACCTTATAAATATACACGTTGCACTTTATAAATCAACACGTTGCACTTTATACAACAACACATTGCACTTTATAAAATAACACTCTAACATGTTACACTTTATAAGTCAACATGTTACACTTTATAAAACATCATGTTACACTTTATAAAAATAACACGATGCACTTTATCACGACACTCCACAATTTGCGTCGATAACTTCCGCCAAAATACCACACAACATAATTATTTTTTTTATTTTTATAAAACTCGATTATGTCAGTCCAATTTATGTTTTTTTTTTCCTTAACCGGACAACCGAGCTATGTAAAGAAATATCATTATTTCTATTATTATATTTGTTTTGTAAAATCCTAATACAAGAATATTAGAATTTTAATTATTTTTCTACTAATTACAAATTTAACACATGAATTAAATTGTAATGTTTTAACATTTACAAAATTGCAACTTGGACCCTATGGGTTATCAAATTATCAAAATAGAACCCCTAATTCAAATGAGATCCAATTGCCATTAAACTGCAATCCCTGCCATTAAGCTTCAATCCCATAACTAAATTCGAAATTCAGGCGACATGAAATGTGGTAGCCGATGGATGCTGGTGGTGGTGGGGTGGTCGCGGTGGCGGGGGACTGGTGTCGGCGGTGGCAGGTTTAAGTTGGTGGCTCGAGCAGACTCAGGCGTCGGTGGAGGGTATGGCGTCAGATGCGACGGCCGATGGTACCGGGAGCCCTGCCGCTTGCGGCGCGACAGAGATGGTGGTTGTATGCCGGAGACGCCTGAAGGAAGCCGCGGGTGGCGGACCTACGTAGACGACGGACTGGTTTCTGCCGGAGCCTGCTTGGTTGTATCAGTCTCCGGCGATGTTGCGCGGCGGCGAGGGGAGGACGAGGCCGACGCCAGGAGAGAAGGTAGAAAGGGCGTCGGAATTTGTGGCGGACGGCCCGTCTGTGCAAGGGGGAAATGGATAGATGGCGAGAGAGAGAGATACGACGGTGGTAGAAGGCGGCACCGGACGGCGGCTGTTGGTGGCGGGGTGCATCTAGCTGGAGAAAAAAATGGCAGATACCGAGATATGCTTTAGTGTGTGTGTGTGCGTGAGAGAGAGATGAAGGGAGAGAGATATTAGAGAACATGCAATAATTTAGGTGGGGCCAACTGAATTTGTTATTCGGTGAAATTACACTATTGTCCTTCAGTGTGTTTATTTATCCATGAGATATTGATATATTTACAATTTTGCCATTAATGAATTGACCATTGTTATTTAATTTTGACTTCATCGTGTTCATTCATCGTACCGATCCAATGGTACACGATTATTCTTATTTCTTTCACTATCTACCATTCTCATATGATCCCTTCTCTCTCTCTCTCTCTCTCTCTCTCTCTCTCTATATATATATATATAGGGTTGGGTTCACATGAGAATGGTTCTCAATGAAAGAAATGAAAATAAATCGTAGCCAATAGATTGGATCTAATGGCTAAAATAATTGCCAAAACTATACCTTCATTAAGGGTATTGTGGTAATTATGCACACACAAACTACCCACTACGTTAATGGGCCCCACAAAATTAATACGTTACCACTCCCCAGACCCCATCCATCTGTCACCAACCTCACCACTTTTCTCTCTCTCACACACTCTCACATCTCACACACACACTACACACACACCCAACACACACTCGCTGGCAAAAAAACACACACACACACACACAGCGGCACACCGGCACCCAACCCACCGCAATCGTCCGGTCGCCGTCGACCTCTCACATGTACCTCCCACCGGCGTAAGACGCAGTAACGTCCAAAACCAGCGCCCGTCATAGTCTGTCGCCGCAGTCAAATCCTTCATCCGCCAGTGAGGTTTTCTCTTTTCCTCTGCCTGCGAATCGTCTCCGTCGCGCTCTCCCGATCTCCGATCTTGGAAAAATAAAGGACGAGCAAAAGAAATGGTTGGATGGGCGTGTTTCTTAAGATGGCGGCGAGTTCGACCGGATCCCGTTAAAATCCGAGCGTGACAGCGGCCGGATTTTTAGATTAGTCGATGCCACTGGAATGCTTCGTCGGCGAGCGGAGGGACGGGTTCCACGGAGGAGCAGACGACCAAATCGCCGGAGGAACGGCCGGAGAGCTTGACTTGTGGGCCTGTGTGATACTCATAATTTTGAGATTAGATATTACCCAGAGACTTGATTGCAAATTCATAAGTTTTAACTAAATGCCAATATAGTCCCTGGGTTAAATCTATAATTTACATAAACTTTAATGTGTAATAAATTTACAAATACAAATTAAAGATTTAGATAGAAACTTTAATGTGTAATAAATTTACAAATACAAATTAAGAATTTAGGATTCATTGACTTTGTGTTGAAAAAAATAAAAATAAAAAATTGATAGTGTTGAGGCACAATTTTAAAATTTTATTAATTTTAAATAAAGTTTAATTAAATTCATGACCAAACATGTAAATTATAGCAATATTCTTATAAAATGCATAATAATGGTAAATAATGTGTATAATGTTTAAAATTTTTAATAAATAAAAATATTAAAATAATAAATATATATTTATAATAATAGATAATAAATTATTTCAAGTATTTAGATTAATTTGATATATAATTATTTCTACTAAATTTAGTTTTCAAAAGCACATAAATTATATGGAATCGTATAAATTAGTGCACTTAATATATTAGTACGATGCACTTGATAAAATAACACGTTGCACCAAATAAAACTACACGTTGCACTTTATAAAATAGCACGTTGCACTTTATTGCCACACTCCACACACCATAAATCTAAAAAAAAATGGATATGTGTAATATTTTAAAATCAATCATATCATTTATTTCTGGAGTTTCCGGCCTCGGGTAGAATTGGCCTTTTGGGGGTATTCCGCTGCTTGGGATTCGGCTCAGCTAGGCGGGTTGGCAGTGGAGGGGTCGGCCTTCTCGTGCTAAGGGATTCCTCTGGGGTCGATTTGGTGATTGCTGATTTGTCTCGGATTTTCTTCTGTGGATGGGCTTGTGTGTTTTTTATATTTCGTTGTTTAGTTTTTTGTTGGTTAGCTGTGTTTGTGTCGTTTAGGTTCCTGTGTTTTTGGTTTGGGCGTTGGCTCCTGTGAGCCCGAGTGTCACAATTATTATCCTGTTGGGATCAGACACTCGGGTATTATCCTGGTGGGATCTTTATAGATTTCTTTGTGTTTTGTTGTGTTAGGTACTAGTGAGTCTTGTTTTAGGTTTCTAGCGTTGCTAGTGTCGGGATTATAGGCGGTCGTTAGACCTGTCCTCTAATTTTTATTCAGCTTTTGGTTGCTTTTTCTTCTCCCATTGGAAACTTTGTATTTTTATTGGCACTTTGTGCGTTTTGGTTTATAATAGATCCTCGATCATTTCGAAAAAAAAAAAATCATATCATTTATCCACACAAAACACAAGCATGTTTAATGTACCAAAAATTACAATAATTCACTTTATACATCAATACATTGCACTGTATAACACAACACGACTATCGGATTCCTCCATATTTATTGAAGCTAACCGAACTAAAAATGTTCATCCATAAATAATATAAAAAATAATAAATAAAAGTATCAACATATTAAATATCATTTTTAGTATAAATAACAAATTATTTCTATTATTTAGAATAATTCGGTTAACAAAGTCGAATAAACCAATTAGTTATGTTCATTTTCAATTTAACTATCAGGCTGCACTGTAGTATTAGACAATTAGTTGCACATTAATGAATATCAGATTGCACTTTATAAACTAATATATTGCACTTTACAAACAAAACGATGCACTTTATAATGACTATCATATTGCACGATAAATATCGAAACCGACCGAACATAAATTATTTCAACCAACAGTGATATGAATATAATAAATAAAATTATTAACATATTAAATATAAATAACAAATTGTTTATATTATTTAGAATAATTCGGTTAACCAAGTCGAATAAGCCAATTAATTAAGTTCATTTTCAATTTAACTATCAGGTTGCACTGTAGTGTTAGACAAGTTGCACATTAATGACTATCGGATTGCACTGTATTAATAGACACTGGCCGAACTAAATTTTTCGATTCGAAATTTTACATTTTTGTTCACTATATGTTTTTTACTTTTAAATTTTTGGATATTTCAGTTCGATTTTGACTTTATTTTTTTTAAACAACTAAAACAACCGAACTGATCGAGTTACATAATAGTAATACTTATTATTATCCAATTTATTAGCATAATTGGATATTTAATATATTTGTATAAATTATGCATTTGACCTATGTATTAAATTGAGATTTATTAAAACTTTTTAAAATTGCAATTGAGCCCCTTTTATATATCTAATTCTCAAATATGAGCCCCAATTCATAAACACTTCTTCACCCCTCACATGGCTCACCACCAGCAACCACCTGCCGCATACTCCTCGCCGGCGACCGGTTATACGGCGCTGGAGAACGCCGCCACATCCCGCCGGTAGCCTCCCGGCAAAATCATCACAAAAAAAAAACAGAAAAATAAATGGATCTGAAGGTAGGGGACGGGAAGGCCTGTGATGGCGATGGCGATATTGGCGACTCGATGTAGGGGCAGTGACAAATGGATCTGAAGGACGGTGGCTTCGTCAAGGTAGTCCGGGATGTCCGACTGACGGACGCGACGGGTTGAGAACTCATCACCGCTTGTCGTTATTCTGGTGGTCCGGCGAGGTTCGACAGAGGTCGGTGGTTTTTCTGGTGGTCCGGCGAGGGTCGTCGGTGTTAATGGCCGGGGCGACGGCGAGTGTGGAGGAAAGGGGCGGCGGCTGGAGCAGAAGAAAGGGGCGGCTGGAGCAGAAGAAAGGGGCGGCGGAGAGAGTGGAGTATACGGGCGGCTGCCGGTGGCAGTGGTGGGTGGCAGGTGGCAGCAGGTGGAGGTCGTCGGTGGATAGTGTGTGTGTGTGTGTGTGCTTTTGTG